ATCCCACATACAGACCGGTTCCCGCTCACTGGCTGAGCGAGGCGCGGGAGCGACCCCGAGGGTTGCGATCCCGTTGCCGGTCCCCGGTCCGGTACAGGGGCAACACTGAGGGTTGCAATCCATTGCCGGACACAGAAAAAAAGACAAAAAAAAAAAAAATACATTTTATAATTGGCCACTATTCTCTTTTATTGGTTCTAATAGTTTTTTTTAGCTGATCCTGAGGTTATTTAGGTGGATGAGTTATTCTCAAAAAGGAGAATAGGGGGCTGGACAGCTAGCTCTGGGGCTAGACAGCTAGCTCAAGTGGTTAAAGTGCAGCCCTGTAACACCAAGATCATGGGTTTGGTTCCCCATACTGGCCAGACACACACACAGAGAGACAACACACACAGAGAGACACTCCCACCCCCACACACAGTGAGACCCCCCCCCCCCCCCCCCCACTGAGACCCCCCCCCCCACACACACATGGTGGTTTCTACCCCCAAGGAGGCATGCTCTGTTTTCACTAATGGCAAGGAACCAGGTATACCAGATTTCCTGTAATGCACAGAACAGTTTCCCATTACAAAGAATCCCAACCAACTTTCAAGTGTCTTGCCAGAATTCACGTGGGTGAAAAATTTGTTTATAAATACAAGCCTTGAACCTAATTCCATTTTATTTATAAACCAAAGATTTTTTAGTGAATTTTATTCTCATTATTTATGGTAGTTATGTTAAGTTGCCACATACACAAAATTAGCAAATACTAAAGCACTGCTCCTAGGGGAAATGTGCACACACATACAGAAACGTGAGTATGTATATATACACACAAGTATGTACTCAAATGTATAAGCATACACACACATACATACACACACACATATCACAGAGATTATAATCTTAAAAACAACTTATTCTAGTAGATTCTGTTTCTTTTATTTAGAAAAGAGAAATCAGAGTTCAGAAGTGCTAAGTAACTGCCTGAGGCCACCCCACTAACAGGCGCCACAGCTAGGAACCTCATGCAACCCACCCAAGAGCCAGAGTTTCTTGTACTATGCTGCACTGCCCCCCACCATCTCTATCTCTGTAGGAAAGCGAAAACAGGAAGGCAGAGAGCCTCGCATTGTCCAGCATGAACTGGGAATGTGCTGGTCTGGCAACTAAAGAAGTCTTTTACAGAAAATGACTAAGAAAGTGCCCCAAGTATTGATTCTGGGGTTACAAATAATTTCAGGGAGTAGACAAGTTCACAAATACAGAACTATGAATAAACAGGACAGACTATACTGTTTTATTTGGAACCTTTAAAGAAAACAACTTAAGTGGCAGCAGTGCTGCTCATGGTGTTTGAGATGTTAATTTAACACATGCCTGTACCCTGCAATCAAAGCTGTCTTGTGCTGCTACACAGATAGGTACCACATTTGACTACTTTAGTTTGTCTTCTGGTGTTGTCCTGCCCAAACCTCTATATACTGAAGTACACATTTTGTTTTATTATCAGTACATTTATTTCTCATTTACATTACAACTAGGCCATTTAGAAATTACAAAATATGTGTGCATATTATCTATAAATTTCATTCTAGGTTAGTAAAGGACAAAATTACAAAAATATTTATTATAAAAAGGGAGAACTGGGTTTAATGGAGTTGTGAACTACTAATGTATGTAATTTCATCTGTAAATAATGAAAAAGGCCTCCTCCTTTCCCATATTCAAGCCTCTAATTTCTTTATCTTTTATGAATACATCAATCAGAATTATAACAACACCCTGGAAAAACAGCAAGGATAGTAGGCACCCCTGTACTGAAGTTCCAATAGACTATCATGTTAAAGAAATATTCTTCTAGACCTAATTTATTATCTGGAATGAAGGTGAAATTTTATCAAAAGCCTTTCTGACATCTGTAGAAATCAAATTGTTTTTCTTCTTTGATCTGCTACTGTGAGGAATTATATGAATAAATTTCATAACATTGAGCCATTCCTTCAATCTCCAAATAAACTCTGTTTGCTCACACAGTATTATTCTTCTAAGGTACCACTAGATTCAGTTTTACAAAGAATTTCTTCTCTCTCTCTCTCCATATTTTTTTTACAGCAGGCCAGTGCAGCAATCGGAACCATTGACCTTGCTGTTATCAGCACTGTGCTCTAACCAACTGAGCTAACTGGACAGCCCTCTTCTATATATTAAGTGAGGTTGATTTGGACTATTTTTTGTCTTGTCAGATTTCTACATAAGGGTTGTAGTTCCTTCAATAATTAACCAAGAAATATTTTCTTCTTTTAATGATCAGGAAACTGTCTGTTCCTTAAAGGTTGGATAAAACTCACCTGTAAAAAACACCTTGTGAAGGGACAGTTCTTTGATAACTTTTAATTCCTTCCATGGTAATTGGTCTATTCAGGCTTTCTTCTTCAGTCAATTTTGATAATTTATATTTGCCTATAAAATGATCCATTCCATCAAGATGTTCAATTTATTAGCACAGAATAAACCCAGAATTAAAATAAAAATCTCAGCATATGATTATATTCCCATTTTTCTTTCTAAATGTGAATATGTTTTCTTTATCACCTTTGCCAGAGGTTTATTTATTTTAACAGTTTTTTTTTAAAGGAACCAGCTTATGGATTTATCAATTCTACTGTTTTTAAATTCATTAATTTCTATGTTTACCTATTTCCTTTCCTCTTTTCGTATGGTTCTTTTGTTATTCATTTTCCAGCTACTTGGGTTGAATGCTTAAGCCATTTATATCTATTCTAATTTATTTTATTTTATTTATTTATTTTTTTTTTTAAAAAGATGACCGGTAAGGGGATCTTAACCCTTGACTTGGTGTTGTCAGCACCACGCTCACCCAGTGAGCTAACCGGCCATCCCTATATGGGATCTGAACCCGTGGCCTTGGTGTTATCAGCACCGCACTCTACCGAGTGAGCCACGGGCCGGCCCTCTATTCTAATTTATATACTAAAAGCAGTTATTATTATTTTTTCTTCCTGTGCAGCTTTGGCCTCATCCCGTAAGTTTTTACATATAGTATTCTCATTGGGAATGATTACTAAATAGTCCACAAATGCTTTTTTTTTTTTTTTTTGCTGCTGGCCAGTAGAGGGATCAAAACCTGGACCTTGATGTTCTCAGTATAAATGCATTTTTAATTTCCTTTTTAACCCAAGATTTATAATAGTAAACCACCTGAGTTGTTTTTTAACAAACTTGTTATTAATTTCTAGTTTTATACTAAAGTGCTATTAAATAACTGAAAATCCAGAAGAGCTAAGTTTATGAATACTGGTACCAATTCTAAAGAAACACAGTAGAACAAATAAACTCCTCAACATGATCTTATGCATGCATTTTTCCAGATTCTTGATTTTTTTCCCATTCAAAGCTTTTATAAATGTATACTGAAATATTTTCTATGAAACGTCTACACAAAGAAAAAACTCACAATACATACAGTAAGGTTAAATTTATTAAATTGTAGCCCTTAGCCTGTAAAAATAATGTTTGATCAATTAAGATCTAGAACTCAGCTCACCAGAGTGGTGATCCAAACAGAATTCACGTAACAGAAGGCCCAACCCAATCCTTTCTTATTTTATTTTTTCCTAAGAGGTCACCCTCCTTCACAATTCCGTGAGGAGACCAGGATGCCTCAGTGACTTTGTGACTCTTGTATTAGCTTAGAAATGTATTAAACAAAGTATAAAATAAATTGCTGATTAATTATCTTCCACAATATGAGGACAAAGGCCAAATGCTGACTGCTCCCTCTCCCCAACCCCCAAGTCCACAGTGTTACAGGTACCTGATCCGATCGCTTGTTCCACTGTAGCCCCAGCGGCTCTCTACTTGCTGAAATCTATTGATGCAGCATTCCTTTCCTCTGAGGCAGCATCTTGGTCGGTCAATGTATTCAACTCGGGGTTTAGGATTGACAGTAAAATGAAGAAAGAGGTTTACTACTTCACGATCTGACAAAATTCCAGATTGAGCAGGACCTGTAGAAATAAAAATATAAAACCTCAATAAAAGCAATTTGATTTCAATTCCTAACTTTGTAATATTCCACTTAATAATGGGAATTCAAATTTACAACATGTAAAGCAAGAATAGGGAGAAAAATCTTAGCATATATAATTTTAGCATATGTTTAATTTTAAAGTTTCAATAAATCCATTTGCGGTTAACCTAACAGAATATAAATGTTAAAATCATTAAGTCAAAGCTTAGATGAAACCCTGAGATAACAAAAAAAAATCTCCGGATTCTTCTATCCACACACCCACCTCTGAGTACCAGACTTTTGCTCACCAGCAAGTGGAGGGTCATTTCTTTTTTTTTTTTTTCCTTTTTGTCTTTTTTACTGACCGGTAACGGGATCGCAACCCTCGGTGTCGCGCCCGCACCGCGCTCAGCCAGTGAGCGGGAACCGGTCTCCACATGGGATCCGAACCCTCAGCAGGAGCGCCGCCGCGCTCCCAAGCGGTGCACTGTAGCAGTGCGCCACCGGACCCGCCCGGAGGGTCATTTCTTCCGGTGGGAAAACGCTTACAGCGGCAGCCGGAGCTACTGCTGCCTCTCTGCACTCCCCAGCTAACACCTGTCTGAGACTGTAACCTGAACAATGGAATATATTTAAGAAGGAGAAAGAGAGGATGGTGCTTTATTTTGGGGGTACAGAAGTTAGCAGAGGGCAGAAGCTAAAACTGGAAGAACCATGGAAGCAGCATCCTATGTATGCTACAGTTTCCCCGTTCACTGCTTCTGAGAAGAGAAATATTCCAAATGCCTAAAACTTATCCAGGAATAAATGCTTTCCTCACAAAAGATGCCAGAAGATCCCTTCCAAGCCCAGTAAAAGCAATCTAAATAAGAGACTGAAAAGACAGTAAAAATTTGGTTTAGGAAGCCTTAATTCAGATTTTAATGTAAAACCCCCTGATTTTATTTTTTTCATGTAGGGCATTTGTTCACAGGGAGGCCACAAGTTTTGTGCCCCTCTTTACAATGACCCCAAATTCCTGTGAGGTGTGTTGTAAACAGAGGAGCCTTTCTTTAGGCCCCTTGCTCTGAGCACACCCGATAAAACCCCTTGATTTTAAATCACTAGATTAAAAATTTTAAATATTACCCACAAAATATGTCAGCCTGCCAGACCTGGCCCAAGGTTCATCACTGGCAACCTCTGGATAAGAAAAAAGTGTGAAGAAGGAAAAATAAAATTATAAACTTAAAATCTGCATTTTAGCAAAAAAGAATGGAACTGGAACTACATAAGATCAAAACAAAAATGGAGATAAAAACTCATGTAACTTTCTCAGAATGACAAGGACTAAGATAAAAAGACTAAATGTTTACGGTGATTAAAATAAATGAAAAAAAAGCAGAAACCCATGTACAAGTAACTAGTGGTCTGGAAGAACCAACAATAAGAAATAGAATGAGGCAATAAGTAAAATAAGAGGAAAATTCCTTAGTTGAAAAAAGAAGTCTTCAGATCATGAAAAACATTTTCAGATATTTACCTATGTACCTACCTGAAGAACATAAAACAAGATACACTCCAGTTAATAGAGGGGTGAATCAAAATAAAGAATTCAAAAATATGTCAGATGAAAAGATACACCTAGGCACATTATCATCAAACTGCTGAAAAACCAAAGATAATGTAAAAGCACCAGAAAAAAAGGATACATTACTTTTAAAGAAGCAATAATTAGACTTTTCAAAAGAAATAATGGAAGCCAAAGGGAAGAGAATTTACATTCCAACGATGGATGAAAATAACTGCCAACCTGGAGTTCTCTTCCCAGGACAATATCCTTCATAATGAAGGCAAGATAAAGATGATTTTAGACAAAAAGAAAAAAGAGTTGAAAGAATCTGTTAGTATCTTACCTGTTTTAAAATAAATACTAAAGAAAAAATTTTAGGCTGATGGAAATGATTCCAGATAGAAGCATGGTAATACAGAAAAAAAATGAACAACACCAAAAATACATAAGTAAATCTAAATGATTATTGACTTTTAAAACAATAATGTCTCGTGGACTTTGAAATATATGAAGAATTAAAGTACATGAAACAGGAGGCTGGCCACTTAGCTCAGTTGGTTAGAGCGTGGTGTTGGTAACACCAAGGTCAAGGGTTTGGATCCTCTTGCCAGCCAGCTGCCAAAATAAGTAAATAAAACAAATAAAGTACACAAAACAGTAGCAACATAGGCTGGAGAAGGTTAAATGTAGTGACAGTGTTAATAAGGTCTTTGCATTGTGTGGGAAAATTTAATTTAAATTTTTAAATTTTTCAAGATTTAATTAAAAAAATCCAGTAACTATGTATTTTTGTAATATCAAGGGTAACCCAATAAAATAATAATAAAAGAATGCTTAACTAACAAGCAAATAAACCAGAAAAATAGAATAATAAAAATAACTTGAGGGACGAGCCCGTGGCGCATTCGGGAGAGTGTGGCGCTGGGAGCACAGGAGCGCTCCCGTCGCGGGTTCAGATCCTATATAGGGATGACCAGTGCGCTCACAGTGCTCACTGGCTGAGCACGGTGCGGCCGGTCTCGAAAAGGACAAAAAAAAAAAAAATGATTCCTCCAAAAGGGGGCAGGAAAGAAAGAAAAAAGAAACTGGAAATAAGTAAGACAAATGAAAAACAAATTGCAAATATAAATCTAAATATTTTAGTAATTATATTAAATGCAAATGAACCAAACACTCCAAATAAAAAGTTTACCAAATGGGAATAAAAAAGTGAACTTGCAAGAGACATACCCAAAATACACAGACAATAAAAATAAAAAGCTGAATGTGAAAGGATGAGAAAAGATATAGAATACAAAAAACTAACTTAAAAAAAAAAAAAGGCTAATGAAACTATACCAATATCAGACAAAGACTTTAAAGGAAGTTTTACTAGACTTTAAGTGGGATATATCATAAAGGAGTAAATTCAATAAGAAAACAGAACAATCCTAAATTTAAATGCACCTACTGATATAGTCTCAAAAAGTATATACATAAAAAAAACTGATGGAACAAAAGGGAGAAACATTCTCAATCATAACCAGACATTTTTTTTCTTTGGGTGGCTGGCTGGTATGGGGATCCAAACTCTTGACCCTGGTGTTACAATACCATGCTCTCTACCAACTAAGCCAACTGGCCAGCCCCATAGAAACTTTAACTTACACTTCTCTTAGTAACTGACAGAACAGACATACAAAAAAATTAAAAAATAAAAATAATTACATAGAAAATTTGAACATCATTAGTATATTTCTTTCACAGATATAGGAGTATTCAATTTGCTTAACAGATACAGGACTATTCAGATTTTTCTGCACCCAACAACTCAGAATATGTTCTTCTCAAGTATAACTGGATATTTATTAAAACTCACCACATGCTGGGCAATAAAGGAAGTCTTAAAACAAATTTCAAAGGGCTGAAATGATAGAAGATACATTCTCTAACTATTCTGGAATTAAGCCAGAAATCAGTAAGGGCAAGATAAGAAAAATACCCAAATATTTGAAAATTATGCTTATAATCCATGGGTAAAAGAAAAATAATCACCATGAAAATTAGAAATTCTTTTTATTAAATGATAACAAAAGGGCTGGCTGGTCACAGGTTTGGGTCCCGATACAGGCCAGCTGCCATAAATGAATGAATGAATGAATGAATGAATGAACGAACGAACGAATAAACAAACAAACAAATAAATAAACAAAAATACAACATTATCAATGGGGGGAAAAAGGATGCTTAGAGGAAAAATTATAGATGCATACATTCAAAAAGAATATAGGATGAAAACCATTATTCGAAGTATCTTGAAAAGTCACAATGACTAAACAAATTACCCCAGCAAATTAAAATCAAATAAAGTAAAGAAAGGAAATAATAAAGAAAAAAGCAGAAATTAGTGAAATGGAAAACATACTATAATAGGGAAAATTAATAAAGCCAGAAGTTGGTTCTTGAATACTGAAAAAAGGAAACATTCCTAACTTTTCTATGAGGCCAATTCTGACAATTTCATGACAAGAAAGGAGAATTATAGTCTAATTTCTCTCATAAAGTTGTCATAAAAATACTTAAAAAAAAAGCAGATTGAATCCAGTAATATATAAAAAGAATAATCCATGACAAGCAAGTCTGGTTTATGGAAGAAATCCAAAATAAGTTTAAGTTGGAGAACCAATTAATGTAGTTCACTATATTAACAGAATAAAGGGGAAAATTATATCATTATCTCAAAAAATAGAATTATAAAAATAACTTGATTCTTCCAAAAGAAGGCAAAAAAGAAAAAAAAAACCAAAAAACAGATTAGATGAATAGAAAACAAACTGCAAGATGGTAAATAAGTCCAAATATGTTAGTAATTAATACTAAATGTAAATGAAATAGTCCAAATAAAAGACAAAGTTTGCCAAATTGGATTAAAAAATATTAGTACGTTCAACATCATTAATCATCAGAGATATGAAATTAAAACCACAACGATATATGTCCTCACATTCACCCAAATGGTTAAAACTACAAAAACTGAAAATACCAAGTATTGGAGAGATGTGGGGCAATCAGAATGAACTCAACTCTCTTAACTTTGCTGTTGAGTGTGAATTGTTACAACCACTTTGAGGAATTATTTGGCAGGATCTACTAATGCTGAACTTAAGCACATTCTATGACTTAGCAATTCCACTCCTATATATCCAACAAAAATATTTACATATGTATACCAAATGCCATGTACAAGAATGTTCTCACTGGCTCCCAAACGGAAACAACCAAATGTCCAACAACAGTAAAATGGATAAATAAATCATGGCACATTTATGAAACATATCATTATTATACAGCAATGAAATGAATGAGTTATGGCCACATACAACCACATGGGTGAATCGAACTGACATAATGTCAAGAGAAAAAAGTCAGGGCCGCCCCGTGGTGCACTCGGGAGAGTGCGGCGCTGGGAGCTCAGTGACGCTCCTGCCGCGGGTTCGGATCCTATATAGGAATGGCCGGTGCGCTCACTGGCTGAGCGTGGTGCTCACAAGACAAGGGTTGCGATTCCCTTACCGATCACGAAAAAGACAATAAAAAAAAGAGAGAGAAAAAAGTCACACACAAAATACACACTGTATGTATGATTTCCTTTATATAAAGTAAATATAGACAAACTTAATTTATAGAAGCTAGAAAGTCACCTTTGAGAGGGGGATTAATGACTTACAGGAACATGACAGAGGCTTCTAGAGTTCTGGGAATGTACTGTAAATTGATATAAGTGTGGTTAAATAGATGTGTTCACTTTATTTGCTCATTTTACTATATAAATGTTATACTTCAATTTTAAAAGTTTACATAAAGAAAAACAAACATTGATTCTGACCAGCAAAACCAAAAACAATCTGGGAGAAAATTAGAATAAGTATAATAAATCAATAAGGAAAATTTGAATATATAATAAATACATGATGATTCAATATATGATGAACCAATAAGAAAAATGTGAATACACCAATAGAACAACAAAAGACATAAATAATGTTAAGAAAAAAATACAAATGGCCAATAAACATAAAGAAATATAATCCAAAACAATCATGAGAATTTTTTTTTCTTTTAAATCAACCTGGCCAGGGCCGGCCCGTAGCTCACTCAGGAGAGTGTGGTGCTGATAACACCAAGGCCATGGGTTCGGATCCTATATAGGGATGGCCGGTTAGCTCACTTGGGAGAGCGTGGTGCTGACAACACCAAGTCCAGTGTTACGATCCCCTTACCAGTCATCTTAAAAAAAAAAAAATCAATCAATCAATCAATCAACCTGGCCATGATTTAAAAGCAGATAATACCTAGAGATGATATGGGTAATTAGAACTGGTCATAGCTGGTCATAACTGGTTAGAGAACTGAGATTCAGGTTTGTCTGATTTTAATTACAAGCATCTACCTTAAGAGTCAAAAAGATCTGTCATTATAACCTTGGGCAAGGCATTTTACTTCTCCCAAGCTCACTTCTCTATCACTTCCCTAATCTATAAAATGTATTATTATCTTGAAGGGTTTTTATTAGAATTGAATGAAATTACACACATATATGCACATACACTTATCATGTGACTAGTACTCAATAAATAATAGCTTCTTTTCCTCTCTGGCACAGGGAGACTGACTGACAATTAAAATAGTTTCAAATAGATTTTGGTTAAGTTACAGCCTTACCTGCTGCAAACTCCTCAATTGTCATCAGTGGAAACCGGATTAAGGAAAGAGCTTTTCCTAAAACTTTCTGTTTGTTTCCAAAAGTCACAGGCAATTGTTGTCTCTGACATTCCGCTTCTGCCCAGCGTACAACAGCTCCAAAAAGTCGACTTTCTCTTATACTAAGTGTATCTCTTTCTAGAACTGCACATAGTGTGTCTATAGATAAAATATAATAATAAATTAGGGATATTTTGCTCTTTAACAAGCAATACTGACAGACATGCTTATATTAAGTGTTCAAATCTTAATGAAAAATAGGTTAGATACTTAAAACTATAGATTCTATTTTATATTATTATATATTATAAATATGTTTTATATAATGTATTTATAATACATACTATTGATATTTAATATATTATTTATATTTTATATAATATATTAATTATATATTTTAAAGTATAGAATCTATAGTTTTATATATTTATACATATAAAGTATACATATAAAAAGTATACATTCCTTTAAAAGGAATTAAACTCTAAAATGTTCTTTAAAATTAGTGTGAAGTTTATATTTATTATTTACCAAAAATGCAAACTTAGATATAGTATCTCCTTATACATATATGCATGCTATTTATGAAGCAAACTCAAATATCCTAATAAGATTAATAATAAGCCACAGAAAAAGAGTCCAAGTAAATCACATAAACATATAAAGCCTTCAGATTACAATTCATTCATTCACTCAGCAAATATTTATTACTGAACACTCACTGTATGCCAGGCACTGGTATATCAATGAACAAAAAGTTAAAAACTCAGGGAGCTTACATTCTAATGGAGAGAAATAGATTAAATAAAAATAAATAAATTACGCTAGATGCTACATATGGGTAAAACTAGCAGGGTAAAGGAAATCAGACGTGCAATTTAAAATAGCATGGTTTGAGCAGACCTCATTTGAGCCAAGACTTGAAGGAGGTGGAGAAGTAAGCTAAATAGATACCTAGAAAAAGAACATTCTAGAACTACCAGTGCAAAGGCCCTCTGGTGAAAGACTGCCTGGCATATCTGAGGAACTGCAAGGAGGTCGTGGCGGAGTAGAGTGAGCAAAAGGGAAGAGTAGTAGGCAATGAGGCCAGAAACATGGTGGAGTGGGGTACAATCATGTAGCACACAGTAGATCATTTGGCTTTTACTCTGAGTGAAGTGAGGAACCCCTGGAGGGTTCTAGGCTGTGACAGTTTATGTTCTGAACAAATCACCCTGGCTGCTGTGCTGAGAAGAGACTGCAGTGGAGACAAGAGTGGAAGCAAGATTAGTTAGGAGGCTCTTGCACTGATCCAGGTCAGAGATGGTGGTGGCCCGGACCAGGAAGCAGTGGAAGTGGTGAAAAATGATCAGATTCAGGATATATTCTAAAGAAGACTTAGTGAGACTTCCTAACAGATTGGCTGTGGGCTGTGATAGAAAGAGAGGAGTTAAGGACAACTGCAAGGTTTATAGTCTAAGCACTAGAGGGATGGGGGTGGCATCAACTGAGATGGGAGAGACTATAGGAGGAACAGGTTTGGGTGGGAGAAAGATCTAATGTTTAATTTTGGACATATTAAGTTTAAAATCCCCATGTGACATCCAAGTATAAATGTCATGCCTGTAACTCTTCCTCTTCTCATAGGCAACATTTAAAGAAGTTCAGTTATTTTTAAGTTAGAGAAGCTCAGAGCAGTAAGTTTATTTTTTTATTTTATTATTATTTTTTTGTGTCCGGCAATGGACTGCAACCCTCAGTGTCGCACCCATACCGGGCCGGGACCGGCAACGGAATCGCAACCCTCGGCGTTGCGCCCGCACCTCGCTCAGCCAGTGAGCGGGAACCAGTCTGTATGTGGGATCCGAACCCTCGGCGGGAGCGCCGCCGCACTCCAAAGCGGCGCACTGTAGCAGTGCGCCACCGGGCCAGCCCAGAGCAGTAAGTTTAGAAGAGAAAGAGGCTTTAAAGGCCAACAAACTAGAATGAAATGATAAGCTGCAATCTAACAGAGAAGTGAGGAAATTTGTGAAAAGCAGACATAAGTACGTGAAAAGCACAGCAGCCAAGAGTCTTATACAAAGAGAGATTTCTAAAAAACAATATTTCAGAGGCATGAGTGCTTTACTGTAGATCAATACAATAACTGATACTCATAATAATAAGCATTAATAATCACGAGAATCTTAAATTATATTCAGTACACACTGTTTAACAAATGCAGGTAAAGTAAAATATATTTTAGATATCTTTCTCAAATAGCCAAAATAAACACCTTGGTTCTTAAAAAGGATTATTCCCTAGAATCTAGATAAAATAGGCACTACTATAAAATATCTAATAGTTATGATTTAAATTTAATTTAGATAAAAACAAGTATGCCATACTTATAACAGAAATCATTTAAAACATTAAACATAATTAAATTACCCAGAAATACATATCGAAGAAAAATTTAAAAAAACAAAAACTTTTCTGCAATGGTTTACACATCCATACCGAGAACCATATATTTGCTTAATATCAAACGCAGCAACATTCTAGCAAAGATATAACAGTCCCAGAACATACGGGGTCAAACAATACATTAAAAATGAATTGGTTAAATATATATTTTTTTAAAACTCAAACTTTCATTACTTCTATTGTAGCTGAGCAGATGAGTATAAACTAAGGTTCCATGAAGCTTTTTCAAAGGTGAATTAAATGTAAATCAATATTCCTCAATACTTGGATTTAGAATATATAATGACCATAATATTTAATTATTCACTGGAAAAGCAGAAGACTTTGGACCTAAATGTCTCTACTTTGTATGCTCACACAGTAGTGCCTGCAATACCCACCCTGGTTTTGCTTCCTGAGGTTTCAGTTACCCTCAGTCAATCACAGTCCAAAAATAGGTGAATACAGTACAGTAAGATATTTTGAGAGAGATGATGTCCACATAACTTTTATTACAGTATGGTGTTATGATTGTTTTTATTATGAGTTATTGTTTTTTTTAAAAGATGACCGGTAAGGGGATCTTAACCCTTGACTTGGTGTTGTCAGCACCACGCTCAGCCAGTGAGCTAACCGGCCATCCCTATATAGGATCCGAACCTGTGGCCTTGGTGTTATCAGCACCGCACTCTCCCGAGTGAGCCACGGGCCGGCCTGTGAGTTATTGTTAATCTCTTACTTTGCCTAATTTATAAATTAAACCTTATCATGGGTACATATGTACGGTCAGCCCTCTTTATCCATGGGTTCCACATCCATGAATTCAAGCAACTGTGAATCAAAAATGTTGGGGGAAAAAAAATTCCATAACGTTCCAAAAAGCAAACTTTAAATTTGCCATGTGCTGAGTACTATGTTCAATCCACTCAAATGAAGTGATGTGTAGGCACTGTATTAGGTATTATAAGCATACAGGAGGATGTATGTGAGTTATATGCAAATACTACACCACTTATATCAGCATCTTGAGAATCTACGGATTTTGGTATCCAAGCGGGGTCCTGGAATCAATCCCCCACAGACCGAAGGATGTCTGTACAGGAAAAAACATAGTACGTATAGGGTTCAGTACTATCCAAAGTTTCAGGAATCCACTGGGTGTCTTGGAACGTATCCCCCAAGGAGGAGGAGAGGACTACTGTAACTTCAGAAAAGATAAACATATAAACTTAAAGTATGACTAAACAAAAAAAGCACATCATACTGCCTTTGGCATAATGTAAATTCATTTTGTTCTATCAATGTGATAAATTATGCTCTTCCTTTAGCAGAAAAGCTATAAGAGAGGAATAGTATAACTCCCTCAAGAACACATACTCAAATCCCAGAGGAGAAAAACATCCCCAGAACTAAGGCAGCTATTAAAAAGCTCCTGAAGCCAGCCTCTCCTTTTTCTCAGCTCCTAGACTTCTCTTTAATTCTCAGTTTTTATTTATTTATTTTTTTAAAAAGATGACCAGTAAGGGGATCCTAACCCTTGACTTCGTATTGTCAGCACCAAGTTCTCCCAAGTGAGCTAACCAGCCATCCCTATATAGGGATCCAAACCCGTTGCCGGTCCCTGGTCCGGTACGGGGGCTCCCAAATGAGCCATAGGCAGGCTCTTAATTCTCAGTTTTTATTTATTTATTTTTTTAAAACGATGACCAGTAAGGGGATCCTAACCCTTGACTTCGTATTGTCAGCACCAAGTTCTCCCAAGTGAGCTAACCAGCCATCCCTATATAGGGATCCAAACCCATGGCCTTGGTGTTATCAGCACCACACTCTCCCAAATGAGCCATAGGCAGGCTCTTAATTCTCAGTTTTTAAACAAGTTCACTTGAGGCAAAATAGTCTATGGGGTATAAAGAGGTAGAGGGACACATAGGGCTTCTATCAGCAGATGTGTTAAAATAAGAAATTACAGCAGAGAACCCAATAAAGTTCATAAAAACACAACAGATTATGTTTCATAAACATAATACCAGATTTTAATATAAACCACTCTAAGTCAAATCAAATCAACAAATATTTATAGGGTATCTACCCTGTGCAAGGCACCTACTTCAAGATTCCCAGGCTTTAACGGTATGCATAACATAAGAGCTATTTATAAAACAATTTCCAGGTGTAAGTCCCCCAGGTGCAGGCAGTATTATTTCAAATGAGACTAGATTGAAGAACAAACTGTGCACCTGACAGCCCCAGGAAGGAAATTAAGATTAGGCAATGTGTCATTAACAACATGGACAGTGCTTGGGGCTCTCAAAAATCCAGTAACTCAACAGACATGATGTGCAGGTGCTGGAGAGGAACTTGATCTAGTCCCTGCCCTTCGGTATAATATTAGCAGTGTATAAATCCTTCCCAAGGTACTGTGAAATACTCATGTAAACTAATAAAATGTTATAACAACAGAGGAATACGCTAAGCATCATGGAAAAGGGTGGGGTGTCAGTTCTCAAGAAATGAGTCACTGCAGAGGTAAAATTTCAGCCAAAATGTTAAGACTGAGTGAGAATTAGCCAAGGTGGGACAGAAAGGCATCTCAGCACAAGCCAGTCAGTCCAGTTGGTCAACAGATGTTAACTGAACTTATACTATATTCTACTGTCTTTGGTGCTAGAGATACAGGGGTAGACAATACCAAGTCCCTGCCTTCAAGGAGTTTACAATGTAGGAGTGGCGGGCCAGCCTGTGGCTCACTCGGTAGAGTGCAGTGCTGGTACAATGTAGGAGTGGAAAGGAGATAATCAACATATGCATACAAAGACAAATACTAGATAAGACTATCAGATAACAATATGTATTACGAGGAATACATATTGAGATATGTATTCCTGAGATAGCCTGTCTCTGGTCTCATTTAACCTGAGATCTGAATGATCAAAAGCAAGCAGTCCTATAAAGATTCTGGGGGGAAAGGACTCCCATCAGAAGGAATAGCAAGTACTAAGGCCTGGAATATAAATAATCCTGGTCACTGTATATGGAATGAGAACGAGGAGGAGAACGGTAGGAGATAAAGTCAGATGTAGGTAGAGGGAGGTAGTGACTGCTAGCTGTTTACCAAAAATCTGTTTTCTCTTCTTCCTGGAATGTGACTAACCTGTATCTCCTAGCTTCCCCTGGAATTAGGTGGGATCTCATGACTGAATTCTGGGCAACAAAATAAGAGCCAAAACGAAGGTGCCATTTCAAGGCCAACACTTTTAATATGTGGGTGTTTTTCCTGCCCACACTTTCTCCCATCTTCCAGCAAGATACAGATAATAACTAGGTCCTAGGGAATGGCAGGGCCACAACAGAGAGCTACCCGCTGACTCTGACATTCCCCTGGACGGTTATGTGAAATAAACTCCTTTGTGTTTGAGGCAGTGTGCACTTTTGGATCTGTTTATTACCACAGCCTAGCCTAGCACAACCTACCCTGGCCACCCTAATATAAGGCCTGATCATATGGGGCCTTGTAAGCTTCGTAAGAAGTCTGGATTTTATTCTAACTGCAGTGGGGAGACATTAGAAGCAAGGAAGTGATACGACCTGATTTTTTATTTATAAAGATCATTGTGGCTGCTATGTAGAGAATGGACTGTATTGCAGCAAGAGTGGATGGAAGAAGAGACTTTACGAGACTACTGGAGTTAGTCATGTGAGAGAAAACTAGGTGGTAGCAGCGGACATTGTAAGAAACAGTCAGATTCAGGATACATTTTGAAAAGTAGAGCCATGAGCACCTTCTGAGGAGACCACATGAGGAGTACGAAAGAAAGAATAATCAAGAGTAACTTCAGGGTTTTTAGCTTCAACAATCAGGTTCACAGTGGTGCCATTAAGGAATACTGAAAAAAGTCGGAAAGGAACAAAAGAGATCTAACAGAGAGTGGCGGGAATCAATGGCTTTTCTATAGCTGTTTTGCTTGAAATGACTATAAAATCACCAAATGAAAATGTAGAGTAGACAGCTGAGTATGAGTTTGGAGCTCTGAAGACAAGGTGGAAGACACAGATTTTGGGTCATATAGGTAATATCTAAAGAGATGGGCCTGGATAATATTTAAAACCATTGGCTCTCTGGACTCACGTTCAAGGTAAAATTTAAATCCTTAGCTATCATTAAATTGTCCTCTATTACCTGGCTTTAACCTGTCTTGCACTTCCTTTTCTCTACATCCACTTCTTCAGGTGGTTCCACTCGCACTGAACATCCTCCCCTGTTCACTATCCAAATACTATCCACTCTTAAAGGCCTGTATCAGAACTTCCCTGTCAAGATTTTCCTAACACTACCCCAATCTGAGGTAATGTCTCCACTTTCTGGATTTTCATAGTAATTATTTTCTACATATCTAATGTAGAAACGGCAAAAGGCAAAAATCACATTTTGCCATATGTCATCTCTTCTATTAGTGTCTGAAATCTTGATTTTCACATATTTGCTCCTTGATTCTTCAATTAGATGTTTCCTTAACAAGACAAACCACATTTTACCCTTCTTCATACTGTATTTCGTATAGGACCCTAGTATAATGCCATGCATATGGTAAGCAGTCAATGAACACTTATTTGATCTGACACATTTTAAAAGGCAATGAGGTAGTTAAGACTTTTAGGAATATATTCACCAAAATGAAAGAAAGCAAAACTCTTAAAGAGGGAGACTTCAATCATTTGGAAAAAACACTAATTTAAATACAGCTTGTTCTTTGACAAGACTGAGAAGTATTAATGTACTTAAAACATAAAAATTTAGTTCAGTGAACTTACCTATGTCAATATCAGTAAACCCTTCTGCACTTATTGCGTCCGTTGTGCTTTTGTCTATTGTGTCTAGACAAAGACTAGCAAGCTGAGGTTCATCAAATAATCGAGCCTAAACACATAAAGAGATAGAGTTATTTTACCTTTAGGCTGTACATATTCAAAGTTAGTACTATGAACAGTTATAATTGCTAATTATGTAAAAATATCTACTTAAAATACAATTATCATGTTTATATGTTCTTAAAATTTTTCATTCTGTAATCAGAAATGAAAAGCTAAAAACACAAAGGCCCTGCTGAGATAACAAATTCACATTTCCAATAATAATCCTGTATTTTTATTTTCATATGCTTACATATATATTGCCTATTTTCTTATACAATACTTATTCTGATCCTTAGCAAATCCTCTAGGTTAGATTAAGCAGACATTACTATCCCATTTTCTAGATGGGGAAACAGGAATTCAAAGAGGTACAGTGACTTGCCTAAGATCATTTAGCTAGGTATGTTGCAAAGCTAGTACTTAAATCCTAGTTTTATGATCCTTTCACTAAACTAAACAGCAACTGTCAAGCACACCAGTACAAAGAGATCAGATTTTTTTCCCATTGCCTGTTTCAACTGGGGGGAGAGAATGGAGTACAAGAATTTTAGAGCATGAGAGCTCTAGGAACCTAAGCACAAACTAGGTCTAACAACAGAAGAACAAAAAAATAAATTTACATGATGGAATATTATACAACAATGAGAATGAATGATCTACAACAACACAACAATATGGCTGAATCTCACAAACCTAATGATAAGCAAAAGAAGCCAGAGTATATAATGAGCAAAAGAGTATATATACATTGTATGATTCCAGCAAAGCTAATTTTGGATGTAAGAAGTCAGAAGTTGAGTTTATAATGTGTGCCTTATCAATATGCATATTATAATTCAAAAAAAGAAGTTTAAAAGCAGGGGGAGTACAAGTCAAACTCAAATGCGATTTTTAAAAAACTGAAACACTGAACAAGGAGGTGAGATGATATCCATGTCAATGACCAACCTTTCATTCTGGCCTCGGGTCAGCTCTATTTACATTTAATAGCATGGACAAACACGAAATGCACAGAGGTGTTCATGCTGGGTCATGCAGAAACCTGCTGAGAATACTGCCAACTAATTAACCACAGCATAAATGACAACCATTATTTGGTATGACTGATGACTCTTCATTTAATTTTAAAAGTAAAATTCAACTTAAAGGATAACTCAGCTACTACCGAACAACCGATAAACATCTGTAAAATGAACAGTTATCTTGTGGGCTGTTTTTTGTTTTTTTTAAGCAACTTGCTGGTGCAGGGATCTGAACTCTGGACCTAGGTGTTATCAGCACCATGTTCTACCATTGAGCTAACCAGCCACCCATATCTTGTATTTTATGGGACAGAAAAGAAAGCATTAAACACAGTGACAGAATTTTTAAAAATTTACATACATATTTTATTTACATTTTAAATTTTAAAAATTTATATATAAAATACATAAACATTTTAAGTCAGCAGAACATTATTTAAAATTGTAGAACACTCAAATATGTTTGAAAATGGTCTTACACACTAAGCCTGTTTAATTTGCTTTGTCAAATTTAAATAAATTTTGGCACAAAATAAAAAATCTGTATTAAAATAGAATAAATATTGGGCCAGCCCGTGGCTCACTCGGTAGAGTGCGGTGCTGATAACACCCCAGCCACGGGTTCGGATCCCATATAGGGATGGCCAGTTTGCTCACTGGCTGAGCGTGGTGCTGACAACACCAAGCTAAGGGCTGAGATCCCCTTACCGGTCATCTTTAAAAAAAAAAAAAAAAAAAAAAAAAATATTAACTCTATCTCATGCAATTTTCCCTCAAAATTTTTTTTACTTGGAATTTTAAATTTACAGAAAAGTTGCAAGAACAGTACAAGGAACACCCATATACCCTTTATCCATATTTACCTAAATGTTATCTAACCTTTTGCCTCATTTGTTTCATCTCTTGCTCTCTCTCTCTCTCTCTCTCTCTCTCTCTCAGTATATCTGAGAATAACTTCAAAAAGTCCGTGAAAAGATTTGTATTATAATTTTTTGTTTTGTTTTGGTTTTTTTGGCGGCTGGTTGGTACAGGGATCCAACCTTGAACCTTGGTGTTATCAGCACCATGCTCTAATCAACTGAGTAAACCAGACAGCTCCTTTATCTTTTAATCCTATTTTTCCATGAACTTTATAAAGTACCCTCATGCGTACATGTGTATATACGCATCCACAAACACACATATATATATTATTTGGGGGCGAGGGATCAGAACCATTTGAAAGTAAGTTGCATACATCATGGACCCTCACCCTAAAATTTCCTAAGATATTTTCTTACATAACCATAGTAATTAACTTTGATAAATTTAATATTAATACAATATTTTTTCTACTCTACTGGCTGTATTTCAGTTTTGTCACTTGATCCAACGAATTTTTTTAATAACATTTTTCCTTTTAGTACAGGATCCAGTCTAGGACTATAGTTCACACATTTTTTAATGTATGAAACACAGTACATTCTTTATAATTATAATAAGTAACATTCAGATAAGTAAATCTAGATAAAGGGAATATGGGTGTTCTTTGTACTATCCTTGCAATTTTTCTGTAAATTTGTAATTCCAAATAAAAAAATTTTTTGAGGGAAAACTGCATGAAATAGAGTTAATATTTATTCTATTAAAACAAATTAGAAATTCTAATATCAGCAGATATTTTAACTGGCCAGCTCAACTATATTTTTAGTTGATGTTTGTGCAAAAATTATCTTTCACTCTAGGAAAAACAATTTTTGGTAAAAATTATTTTATTCAGATTAAGCAATTGTCAGTCACTTTTTAGATTACACAGGCAATATCAACTTTCCTATGAAATCTATTGCTGTTACTTGGAGTAAAATAAATTTTCCAAGGCCACGGGTTTGGATCCCTATATAGGGATGGCCGGTTCGCTCACTTGGGAGAGCATGGTGCTGACAACACCTAGTCAAGGGTTAAGATTCCCTTACTGGTCATCTTTAAAAAAATTTTTAAATTTTTTTTTAAAAAGAATCTTATGAATATCAACTTACTTATTAGATTTTCATCACAAATTCAAAAAAAGAAAAAAATGCAGGGAGATATTGCATATTAGTTATATGACTTTGGTCAAGCTATTTCACCTCTCTGTGCCTCAATTTCCTTATCTATCAAATGGTGATAAGAAAACCTTTATTTTGAACACCTATACCTCATAAACCTATAGTAAGGATTAAATGAATTAATGTACACAAAGTGTATAGGAAGGTGCTGACACAATCACCACCCAATACAATACATTTTGCTGTTATTTTCACCAATATCACCACACCTTAAGAACTGTTGATGTAAGGTGAAGACCTTAGTTTTACTTGCTGTCTAATATTAAGTAAAATATTTATTTCTGTAAGTTTCCGTTTTTCATCTTTAAAATGAGGATAATAATAGGAAACTAGAGTCATAATGAATAAATGTGATAATATATATAAAGGGGCTAGTTTAGTGTCTGGCATACATGGCGTTCTGTAATTATGTCCATGAAAAGGTGAGATCAGCAGCATGTTCTTTCCTTCTTCTATAACTACAAACACTTAATGACAGAAATTTTTTAAAAAAGGAGAAAAAAAAAGAAACCATACATTTTACATATGATAGAATGAACACTGAACTGGAAAACATCAACCCTGGGCCCTGGCCCACTTAGCTTGTGTGAGACTTTGGAAAGGCAGTTAATCAGTCCAAGTTCTAGTTTTTCCATTCATAAAATGAGAGGTTTGAGCTAGGGGTCATCAGTAATTATTTCCAGTCCTAATATTCAATAAGATTATATTTTATCAACTTAGAATTTTTAAAACAATTCATACAAGAGTATTACAACACTGTCTAAAAAGAAAAAATATATTTATATCAAAGCATGAAGCTCAGATCACAGGCATTTAATAAACGCTAAATAATCTATGTTAAAGAGTGGTTAATAGCTCCATTGGTGTGTTCAGTCTGTATAAATTCATTACACTGTACACTTATAATATGTGCACTTTTCCGTATGGATACTGTTAGTGAAAACTTCTTAAAACGTCAGAGAAAGCATGTTTCATATAAACCTAAAATTCTAACTTCTCCAGGAGTGGGTTAGCAAACTTCCAGACACAGGTCCAAAGACAGTGAATCTTAGAACTTTTCCAGACTTAAAATATTCAATTTTTATTCCAGATCCACCAGCAAAACTTGAGAACAAAGCTGTCCAGAAAATTTCATGCTATCATACTCTCAAAAATAGCAGGAACAACAGTGGACCTTAATCCCTTTACCTATATGATTCAGCACTGTGTTAACTCTAATTTGCTTTGCTATTCTAAAATCTTATGAATCTGATACATTTCCCTGAGTGGTATTATAAAAATAATTATATATACTGTAAAATAATGATCTAGAATTCTCCAGGAAATATTAAACAGTCACATAAAATTATGCTTATACTCTGTGCTCTAACCAACTGAACTAACAAACCAGCCTAGATCATACTCAATTTTTAAGGTACAATGATATGTACCTTAGCTACATTTACTTACCTGAGTAAGTAACATAAAGGCATTATCTGCCCTGAGATGTTTGGTGAGAAAATCCACACAATGTGCTTCCAAGGCTGGGACTGCATATTTCTTAGCAGTATAAAGAGTGGTCATTACTGTTTCTGGGCCGATTTGAACTTCATCTGAATACAGAAATCTGGGAAGCAATTGGGAAATTTACACAGATGATCAGAAATGTTTTAGATAAGCAATCCATCAGAGTTAAACGTCTGAGGAATATTTTAAAAGACAATGAGTAAACTGAAAAACAATCTGAAATCTGCATCAGATTTTGCAGTCTACAGGGCATTTGCACACACATCATCTCATTTCATTCTTACTCAATCCTGAGAGGTAGGAAGTCTCTCATTTTACAGAGCAAACAGGTTAAGTGAAGATTATGAGACAAACCCATATCTCTAAGCCAAGTCTTCAGAATTCTTCTCAGCACCCCATAGCTGCTTAGGACAATAGTGGTTCACTAATCTCTCCCCCATCAAAAGATGTCCACTTAGTAAATCTACAGGTAGCTAAGGTCATATCTCTAAATGTCAAAACATCCATTTATATTCTGATAATAGTGCCTTCTTATTCTGGGCATCTTTTAACCTTTCATCGTTATCCCAGAATCAGCATAATGACCACAGATTAAAGTACTGGGGCTTTGGAGGAATAAAGCAATTTAATAATGTAATAAATGATCCCATTTGCTTTTGTGCTTTTGAGTATTTAGGTCCAATTTTCTCTCAAAATCTATTTGCCCAATACTGCCTTCCTCTTAGTTCACTGATTCTGACTGTTAGGTCACTAGATAAATCCGCCTCAGAGAACTGAAGATAAAGCACAAGATTCTCAGTGAAGGCAAGGCCTAGACAGTTCTTGTTAAAGTATACTGGAGCTTTTGCATATCAACTTCAGGCACCCTTTGCGGACCCTCAGAGACCCTTGTACTTACTGCTCAGTTCTCTGCTACACTTACTATAGCTGAGGCTACTGGAAAAGTATGGCATTAAGAACAAGTATTTCATTTTAGCAATACTGAAAGACATTAGGACACTTTATTACACCTATATTTCCAAGACTCAAGTTTTAAGATAAGCGTTTAAGAAAACCCATTATCTTCTTTCCAAATACTCTATTACACTGGAGTGAGGAAATTTCTATCTCATGCCCCTACCCTATACCTTTCAACTTCCTCCTCTTTTATTCCTACGGCCATAATTACCACCTAAGATGAAAACTTGTTACACCTCCCTAAGTTCCCACTCTAACCAAATCTTGGCATTTCTCTGATAATATCATCATTCTTACAACTATCTTAAGTGGAGGTATACTACCCTATATCTCAGGTACAAAAGCGAGGGTTGCTGTTTTTCAGGATTACACTGTTTTTACATTTTTTTCCAAAAACTCCTTTTAGAGACTAAAGTCAGCCAACTGTATCACCCTCATAATGCTCACTTAATTTTACATGCCACATTTTGTGATGAGTAGAAGGAATTAAAAACTAAGTAAGGCACAGTGCCTCACAGCTGGGGGGAGGGGATGAATAAAAAGAATAGAGAGAAAATTAATATTAACATTTGTTGAGTATTTAGCATACGACAAATGCCAATTCATTTAATCCTCCCACAGAGAAGGTAGGTGCTATTACCTGCATTTAAATGATGAGAAAACATGAGAGCTGTTTACCATTACACACCATTTCTGGGCTTGTTTCCTGTGCTACAATATGAGGCCAATCAGGAAGAGACTGCTCTATTAATTACTAGCTGTGTGACTTTAAGCAACTTATTATCACTGTGTGCCTCTCTAAAGAGAGATGAAAACAACAGTATCTACTTCACAGTTGGCGAGGATTAACATAAGTTATAACACTAAAGCATTTTGAATAGTGCCTGACAAAAAATTAGCTTCAGTAAATGTTATTTATTTGTATATTGTCTCATATTTTTTATTGCTATTTTACTCTGCATTTTGAAAGATTTCCTCGTCCTTATCTTCTAGCCCTTCTATTTTTCTCCCCAGCAATCACGTTTAAATTTCTAAGAATTGAGACTTCCTTCTTCATTCCTTTTTTTTTTCCACAGCATCATGTCTTAGTTTTGTGGATGTAAAAACTTTCTCAGTCTTTAACAAGTTATTAACCAAAGTTTTAAAAGTTCTCTTCTGTTCTCTGGATTACATGTTCCCTGTAAAATCAGCTGTTCTGTTTATCTTGGTCTTTGTAATTCATGTTCTGATATTCCTTATCTATTAAATGATTGATGACTGTCTCCATGTTCAGTATTCTAGCAGCTGGTCTGTTTTTCACATAAAACCATCTCCACAATGAAAAGGTTGGCTGGGAGCTCTGTGTATGGGGGAGGCTTGCTGACTGGCATCTTGTGTTAGAGTGAGAAGCCAGCCTATAGGTCAGGAATCCGCCCTCCCCCTCCCCCAATGCCATCATGAGGAGAGCTTTACCCTGGGGTCCCAAAACTCATACCAGCAGTTCTAGCTCTCCCCAGGCAGCCTGTTCAATTTATTTCCAGAGGAGCCTGTCAGGTGTCACCAGGACCTAGTTGAGGAGATGGGTCTACATGCAGGCTTTAAATTAATTTCCATGTTTGAGGACTACCTTTTCATTTCCATTCTTACTACCTCACTACCAACTTGTAGTCTAGAACCTTGCTGGGGTTCCTCCAGGAAGGGCAGCTCCCGCCTCCACTGCAGCTCTTCATGCTCTGGATTCTGGGCTCCAGATTCATCTACTCTACTTCCTCCATCAACAAGCTTCCAACTGCTTTGTCCCTTTTCTACATTGTTGGCTCTTCTAACCCCTCTTTTTCTCTTCACTGTGTGTAAGACTCATTCTCTTTTGTATTTTTTTGGTCAGTATGGGGATCTGAACCCTTGACTTTGGTGTTATAATACCACACTCTAACCAACTGAGCTAACCTGCTAGCCCCTCTTTTGTATTTAATAGACATTTTAATTGGGAGAGAGATAAGGCTAACTGAAAGAAAGTGGGCCGAGATGCCAGGTACTGTTCAAGCTTTATTAAAGGAAGAAAATCTTCCGGGTTGTGCTCAAAGTGGCAGGCAGCCTGGGGCTGCTCTGAAAATGGGGACAGCACCAGGTGTGGGGGTGATAGAGCTTATATTGGTATGTTGGTGCCAAGAGCTGGGTGATGTAATTCCGGGCTGGGGACTGAGTTAGGTCATGGGAATGGAGAGTTCTGGGCATGCGGAAATGCTGAAAGTTTCAATTTCTCTGAAACCATGAGGCTTCTTATAAGAGATGAGATAGGGTGACCCCCACTTTCATAACATACGCAATTCGCTTCTGTGAAACTGCTTGCTGTGTGACAAGGTAGACTGATTAAGTTTAAACAGTGTTTGAATTGCTTAAAAAATGTTACTGTTTAAAAATCCCCCTCAGCTCTTTAGCCCCCTTAATAGAAGTTAAAAGCTAAATATTAGCCTGCATGTAGAGAAGTTTGAATTTTGTTTGCTGTTCCCCACTCAAGCTGCCCCAAGTGATTAACTGGCTTGTTTCAGCTTCTGTTATCAGCTTGCGCTAGGCCTCCCCAAACCCCCTCCTCACACCAGGAGGGTGGGTATGTGTGTATGTGTGTGACTATATGGTAACTATAAGTGTGTGACTACTTGATAATTTTAACTGTGTGACTAATGTAAGAATGTGCCTTTAAAAAAACCCTCTAAACTTCAAGTCAGGGCTGCTCTCTTCCAAGACTTTCTTGGAGAGACAGTCGCCAGCCAGCCAATAAATACCCCCTTTTAAATTCTCAATTGGGTATTCTGGTTCCTTTTCTGTGCAGCAGCCTCACAACAGAGAGAATGGGGGAGGGGAGGAGAGGAGGTCGACGGCACCATTTTGTACTTGGCCTTGTCTAAGATGGCGCTTGTTGTGTTGCAGATATATTACTAACCATGTGCTCAATTCCCTTCCTGAGCTAGAAACCTATGAAGTTTTTGTTTTAAGGACAAAGTAGATGTCTTCACACCTGCCTACATTTTTTTTTCAAGCAAAATTTACTAGAGAGTTCAAATACCTATACCAGCCAGCTGCAAAAAAAAAAAAACTGGAGTTAAAAGACAGAAAGCAGGGCTGGCCCGGTGGCGCACTGCTACAGTGCGGCGGCGCTCCCGCCGAGGGTTTGGATCCCACATACGGACCGGCCGCTCACTGGCTGATCGAGGAGCGGGGGCAACACCGAGGGTTGCGATCCCATAGCCGGTCCCGGTCCGGTACGGGCGCGACACTGAGGGTTGCGATCCGTTGCCGGTCACGGAAAAAAAAAAAGACAAAAAGACAAAAAAAAAAAAAAGACACAAAGCAGAAATGTGGGGCCTTTATCACCATTTGTCTTTGTATTTTGAATAGATTCAAACTTGAGAATGGTTTGAAAAGAACTCAAGTACATGGTTTTATGAGAATCTAAAATTGGGGGCTCAGACTTAGGGAGAGCTGGAAAAGCTTCAAGGAGGAATTTCTACTTGAAGTAAGATCTAAAAGATAAAAAGAGGATGGGAGGAACATTCTAGAAACAAGAGAAAATGGTGTTTTTAGACTATTCTGTATGAGACCTCCCCATTCAAATTGCTTTTATTAGATTACACCTTGACAACATACCTTTGGCTTATATCGAGGAAAATTTTTAAGAAACATCTATATCTAAAGATATAGATTGAATGGGGCCAGCCTGCAGCTCACTCGGGAGAGTGTGGTGCTGATAATACCAAGGCCATGGGTTGGGATCCCATATAGGGATGGCCGGTTCGCTCACTGGGTGAGCATGGTGCTGACAACACCAAATCAATGGTTAAGATCCCCTTACCAATCATCTCTTTTAAAATAAATAAATAAATAAATAAATAAATAAAGATATAGATTGAAGACACTGTTCGTTATATTTATGCCTTTTTTAGAAGGGGACTGCACCAGGGATTTCTTTTTAAACTGGTCTAATTATTAGAGCTGTGCATCTCCTAAGTAGTTGGCTTGTTTATAATCTTACTAACACTATAAATTATAACTGACCAGCTGTGATTCTCTTTCTGTATTAGTTGCTAAGATTATTAAAATGAAATTTGTAGCTTACTTATAGCATACATTTTTGTATTAGCTTCACTCTTGGCTCTGTTTTATTTCTTA